AAAAAGAGACTCCATCCCAAAAAAAAGAAAGACAGGGACAGGGAACTAGCACAGGGAAGGGCCGGGGCTGGGGAGGAACACAGGATGGTGGAGGATCACAGAAAGTCAGATTCTGAGGGTTCCCCGCAATGCTGGAAAGTGTCCAGGGAGGTGGGAGTTTAAGGGACTGCAGAGAATGGAGACTGGATGGCTGGGTGTGCTGCTGGGCCCAGGTACCGTGCTCACCGGCATGGAAGCTGCCACCTTCTGCTGCTGCTGCTGGTCGATCTTGAATAGCTGCACTTTGGCTCTCTTGAGGAGGCTGAACATCTTCTCCTCTACCCCAGACAGCGGCAAGGAACCCAGGCCCGCAATCCGGGCTTTTTCCAGGGGAGGCATCTGCTGTGGTGACGGCGGTGGCTGCAGCTGTGGCTGTGGTGGCGGTAGCGCCTGGGGCAGGAGCTGGGTTTGCAAGGCCTGCAGGGGCTGCAGTAGCTGAGCCTGTGTCTGTGGCCCATTGCTCAGAGCTGGAGCCCCATGAGGGGACACCTCGGCCTTAACAGGAGTGGCGACCACAGGGGCGAATCGAGGCAGGCTGAGGTGGTTGGTGCGGCCCACTGCCCGAGGCTCAGGCTCAGCTGGAGAGTCATCAGCAGGAGGAGGCTCTGGCTCAGGGGCTTCAGGAGCCCCAAGAGGAGGAGGAGTAAGCACCGATTCGTAGATCTTCAGGTGGGCTTCGCTTGGGGTAAACTGAGGGGCCCGAAGGAGTAGGGGCCTCCGGGAGGAGGTGGCTGGAGCAGGGGGTGGGGAGGGGGCTGGGGGAGGTGGAGGGGCTGGGGGAGGAGGGGGCAGCTCCCGGGTCAGTGAGGTCCAGCGAAATGTGGGTTCCCTTAGGATGGACCGTCTCTTCTCAGGGAGTGGGACTGGGGTAGATGGAGGAGTTGGGGCACGTGGTGGAGAGGGGACTGGTGCTGGTTCCTGGGGAACAAGTGGGGAGGTGGTGATGGGAGGTCGCAGGACAGGTGAGACCTCCACCTTTGGGGGCCTGGGGGGGTCTTCATCCATAAATCGCCGGGGTGTCTTGATGACACGGGAGGAGCGGGCACTCACCACAGGCATAATAAACTGCCGGATATTCTTCAGGAAGGTGGTGCTTTTGGGGGCCACGGTGGGACTGTCTTCTGGAGGGCCTCCCGTGGTGGTGCTGGGGGTTGGAGTGGGAGGAGAGGTACCCTCTGGCCCTGCCCGAGCAGCTTCCCGCTCCGCCCGCTGGCTGGGAGTCAGGGGAGGCCGGCCCCTCTTCCTGGAGCACGTAGCTGGGACCACAGGAGGAGGTGACTCTTCCTGCTCCTCTTGGGCAGGAGGCGGTGGAGGGGATGGTACAGGTGGTGGGGACACTGGGGGTGGTGGTGGAGGGCAGAGTGGGGGTGGAGGAGATGTTGAAGGGGGTGGGAGGGGCGGAGGAGGTGAAGGGGCTGGAGGAGTCAGAGGCGGTGGTGGCAGCTTTGTCTCTTCCTTTTCCGCGGCTGGCATCGTCTCCTCAGCTACAGCTCTTTCTTCCTTCTCTTCTCCCTCCTCCTTGTCTTTTCCTTCTTCTTTCTTCTCTTCTCCCTCGTCATCCAGCTTCTGTTCCTGCTTTTTCCAGCAAGGGCTCCCTTCCTGTCCAGATCCAACTCTTCTTTGGGGGGCATCCTGCCAAGTTTCCTCATGTTGACCTTGACCCTGACCTGATTCGAGTCCCAGGGACAACTGTCCCATCTTTACTCTTTTGGCCCTTGAAACAAACTTGATCACAAAAGGGAGCCCACCACCTCGGCCTCGGCCCCTGCCTCCACGGCCTCCGCGGCTTGACTGTCCTCCACGCTTGGGGGTCCCAGGTCCTGGGCCGGGTCCCTCCTTACACTTCCAGCTGCCAGTTTGGTGTTTCACTGGAACCACAGGAGGTGGGGGCTCAGGTTTGGGGATTGTCACAGCTGCTTCTGCCACCACTACTGCTTGCTGCTTCCTCCTGCAGGGGCCTGCTGGCCGTCCTGGGGGCCGTCCCCGAGACCGCCGGGGGGTGGAGGGCTCACATGCCCGGCTCCGGGGTGCTGGGGGTGCCTGGGCCCGCCGGAGAAGTTCAGTCAGTGCCTGCACCATCCGTTCTGTGCCTTCCTCACCCCGTTTCCGGGCAGGGGTCTTTGGGGGGGTAGGAGTCACATCTGCTAGGCGAGGAGGAGGAAGGGGGGTCGTCTTATGCTTGCGACCCCGACCTCGGGGCGCTCGACCTAAAAGGAGAATAGGTGTGGGGAGATGGATCAAGCCGGCCCTGCAGACAGAGGAAAGCGCTCCAGGAGGGCAGGGACTAAGTCTTGCTTGTGTGTTTCCCCCGCTGCCCAGACTAGCTTGGACTCTGAACACAGAACACACTCGGCAACTGACAGAGACTAGTTGAACAGGGAAGAGCTGACATGAAGGGCGAGGATAAATTCCTGTGACGCTACAGAGGTGGAGTTCCCCCGTCACTCACCTCGCTGGGATCGGAGCGCAGAGCGCAGGGAACTGGGGGCCACATCTTCATCTGAATGAAAACCCTGAAACTCCTGATTTAGGGGACCAGGGGTGGAGGGGAGAAACAGCAGTCAGTGCCAAAGCCCTCGTTCCACCTGAGGCATCGAGGAATATCCCCAGTTCCCACTTAACATACCCCTGCCTATTTAAAAAGAACAAAAAAGACTCAAAGGTCACGGGGAGTGCAAGAGAGGGTCTTTCCCTAGGGATGGAGGCGCCAGGTATTCTGAACCCCGATCCCCAGTGCTGGACCACACCAGCACAACCAAAGCCATGGTTCACTGGCTCAGGAGAGATGACGACAGGGTCTCCTCAGGGAAGGCAGCAGGCCCCATACTCAGATTCCCTCAGAGTCCAACTGAGACCAAAGTGGGACCTCCACTGACACCCTCTCGGGCCACAATTTCTTTCTGAATTAAGTTGGGAACAGGGGCCCGCAAGTGGAGGGGCAGGGAGGGCATCAGATGGCTTTCGTACAGGCTCCACTGCAAGCCCTCAGGTGGTTATTAAGCGTCCAGGATAGCAACCCACACCTTCCTGCCTGTTCTGAAAGGCTGGGGGAGAAATCCTGAGCTGAGCTCTGACCTGCCAGGGTGCCCAGTCCCGGCCTTCATCCCACTCCTGTTCAGCCCGAGCCCCAAGAGGAAACCCTCCACCATTCCACCTGAGATGCCAAGAGGAACTGGGGCCCTGGAGAAACCAGAAGGTTGTGAGGCCCGGCAGGGCGGCCCACAGGTAAGAGCCCAGACAGCTCCAACCTGTCTGCCAAGGCCACGCTGCCGCTGTCAACCACGACTGGCTGGGCATGCAGTCCCCACTGCCTCCTCGCCCAAACCTCCACCGCCCTAGCTCTGCCAGCTGCCGAAAAGGATCGGCCCAGGACACTTCAGCGGGACCGACATTGGGCGCGAGTGCCCGGCTGCAGCCTGGGCTTCTCTACCCACTTCCAGAGGCCCTTTCCCCCGGAAGCTGCATGCAGCCTCCCTCCCTCCGTGCCCCGTCTCTCCGAAGGAACCCTGAGGACCCGGCCTGCCCACGCCACCCCCGGGGCAACCCAGACCCCTGGAAGCGCCGGCCTCCGCCCCACCCGGCGCCGGGGACGCCTATGACCGCCTCACCTCCTCGTCGGATTCCCCGTCACTGCTCTCCTCCTCCGGCACGCAGCCCCGACTCGGGCCCCAGCCCCGGCCCCGACCCCGGCCCCGGCCCCGCTGGACCCGCGGGCCGGCCCACAGGCGGCGGAGCCGGCGCAGGCCCCGGCGGAGCCCCAGCAAACGGAGCAGGGCCGTGTCCTCCCCGGGCTCGGCTCCGCTCGGCCCTGTCGCGCCACCGCCGCGCCGCAGAGCTACCCGCACTCTTTCGGCCCCGTTGCCCCGTCCGCCGCGGCCCCCGCCCCCGCCGGCGCCCCGCGGCCGGCCCGGGAAGCGGCCCCGCGCGGAGCCAGGCCCGGGGCAACTGCCGCCGCCCGCCGCCGCCGCCATCTTGGCACCGTGAGAGGGGCCGGGGAGGCGGGGGGAGGGGCGGCCCGTGCGCAGGGCCGGGGGGAGGGGAGAGAGCGGGGGCGGGGCGGGGCGGCCCCGGCGCACGACAACAACCAGCGCCGCCGCGGGGCCGCCGGAGGCCGGGGGCCGGGCCGGCCACGCGCAGGGCACCACGGGAGAGGGAGTCCGCGGCCGGCCGGCGCCCTCGGACCGCGCCTGGGGAGCACAGACCCCGCGTTGCGGCCGCAGAGGGGCGAGCCGCGGGGGCCTCCGGGAAATGTAGTCTGGACGCCTCGCTTCTTCCGCCGGCACCCAAGGCGCGAGGGCTGGGACTGCTGGGTTCCCGGCCAGGACCCGGAAAGCGGGTTGCCGGGTCTCCGGGAGGTGTGGTCCTAGCCCCAGGCTCCTCCCATTGTTCTTGGCGAGGCTGGCGGCCCGCGTGGACTACCACTCCCAGGGTGCCGCGGGCTCGGGCCCCGCGACCCCGAGGCCCTGGGAAATGCAGTTTGCGGCTGCAGGAGGCGTGGGCTGGAGAAGGAGCGGTGGAAGGCATAGTTAGTCTCCGTTCCGGGCGCGATCCGGCGGCGGTTCGGCACGGCCTGGAGGGAAGACGCCGGAGAGGCCGCGGTCTCGGGGTCTGTGTGCTCCCGGAGAGGAGGCGGGTGGCCGAAAGCAGGGTCGGAGCACACGTTCCTCTCTCGCTCGGGCCGAGCGCCCCCAGATCAGACTCCGCGCGCCGTGGATTGCAGTGGAAGGGGCGAGTGACTTGCAGTCGCACAGGCCCCACCAGCCTAGCACCGGCATGCCGCGAGGTGTGCCTGGACACCGAGCCCTCGCGGCCAGCTGCCTCCTGGGGAGGACTGGGCGCCTCGGGGGTGGAGGAAGTGTCCACCCCGCTGGACGGCGGACGCAGGACCACCAGGGGCCGCTACAGGACAAGGGGCGTGGGCGGGGGTGTGCACAGACTAAACTTGGCTTTCTAGTCCTGAAGGGAGAGCACAGGAAACTCTTTATTATGGTGATGAGATCGACAATCCCCCCCCCCTACTATTAACCTTCGCTCCTGCACACTTCAGTGTCCTCACCCGGTAGGGCTCGCTGGCCTGGGCTTCTGCGACCCGCGATCGTCCAGGAGAGGGCACTCGGTGCCCTTTCTGGGGCGGAATTTGCTAGGCCGCCGTAGCAGCGGTGCCAGGTCAGAAGCCGAGCCGGCCCGCTTTTCGTTCTTTAATTGGACTCTTGACTAAGACGCTACCGACACCCCGTCAGGTGGTGGAGGAAGAAGGACAACAGGGAGAGGTCGAGGGCCGAGACGGCCTCGAGGAGGAGTAGAGGAAGGTGGAGCGGATGGTCCATCCTGGCGGGAGTTGGCTGGGCGAGTGACCGCGCATGTGCGCCTGCATGGAGGCCACGCTGGGACAGCCTGCCCCGCACAGGGGGCAGCGGTACGGAGCGGCCCCGTGGGTCCGCAGATGCTTGGTCATGGCCGAGAAGTCCCGGGAGCGCTGAGGACAAAGGCTACAGGAGAAGGGCTTCTCTCCTAGAGCGGTCGGAAGGGGAGGCGGGTGAACGAAGGAAGCGGGCGAGAGCTGGCCAAGTTAGGGGTGGATCGGGCCACGGGGTGAGGGGATTGCGCGGGAACTGGACACGCAGGTGGAGACGCAGGTGGAGACTCAGGAGCGGAGTTGGGAAGAAAGCCGACAGTTCACACAGGGCGGGGCGCCCATACCTGTGTGGACTCGGTAGTGCGTCTCCATTTGATGCTTGAGTGAAAACCTCTTTCCACAGACAGAGCACGCATAGGGCCGAGACCGAGCAGGAGGGGCCGGGGGAGGGTGCGGGCGAGGTGGGCAGCCTGCCTTGTCCTCATGACCCTCACAGGTTGCAAGTGCACCTGTGGGGACAGAGAAGGCAAAGGAGGGCAGGGCCGGGAATCCCAGCGTCAACTCACTATACCATTCAGGCAGGAAATCAAGGGCTACAGTGGGGCTGAGGCACGAGTGCCCCAGCCCGACTCACCTGTGTGCCCCTGATCAGACTCTTCCATCTCCCCAGGGCTGAGCTGTGCGGGGCCCTTGGGGAGGGAACCTGGAGAGAACAGTGGGAGGTAGGGGCTCTGCTCTGGCTGGACTCCTGGAGCCCCACCCCAGAGAAGGCACCGTGTTACAGGTGTATGCAGGGCAGCAAGGGGCTTACCTGGGGTGGGGCTGGAGGAGGCCAACTGGTTCTGACTCCAGAGCCCTTTGGGGGCATTAAGGGACAGTGGGATCCTGGGATAGGGTAGGGAAGAGTTACAGCCTTGACTAAACCTGAGAGCCTGCCCTCTTCCTGAAGAGGGGGCGTCCCAAGTCCTCTCCCGGGGGCTGGGCTTTGGCATGCCCTGTGGCGGCAGATTCTTGTCTCATCCCCAGCTCAGGAACTGTGCAGTAGAGATGCGGTGCCTTTCCACCCAGCAGGGCTGCCCCTCCTGGGCCACACCCTCCCAGCCTGGAGGCCGGGAACTAGGCCCCTCCACTCACCTCTGGTCCCGCCAGACCTCCTGCCAGGCTCCAGTGGTGGGAGTGCTATGGTAGAAGGGAATACCATATCCGGGCGGCATCAGCAGGATGCTCCACAGGGCAGGCTGGCCCCCCACCAACCAAGGGGCCTCAGCCCACGAGGGCCTGGGGGTGACGCTGGTTTGCAGGGAGCCTGCTGGGGGAAGGGGGCCAGGGAGCTCGCGCAGACTTTCCTCAGAGCCCCCTGGATTCTCCCTCAACCACATGAGCACTCCATTCTTCCCATCTGCTCCCCTTTGGCCAACAGGGGCTTGGAGGCGTTTCTCCTTTGACCTGGTCTGTTCCCGCTGAGCCTCCTGCGTTGCTCCTGCCATCTCGGGGCTGCCTCTTGGTGGCGAGTGCTTGTGCAACATCTCCTGTTCTCTCCCACCAGTTCTAGAAACCTGCTCTGGTTTCTGCTTCTCTCCAGGGTCCCCCAGTTCTCTCTCAGGATTCCTCGAGGGTTTCTCTGGCTCCTCCTGATGTTTCTTCAGTACTGGATCTGGCTCTTTAGCTCTGTCCGCTCGAGCCCTCCAGCATGCCTCTTCCAGGGACTGCACTCCCAAGGCCCTGGCCGCCTCCTCAAGGGGCCTTAGCTCCCCAGGCTGCAGCTCTACACTCTCCCCATACACAAAGTGCAGGAGCTGGGCAAAGGTAGAAGGGCTGATGCCTTCTCCCAGAGCCCACTGGCCCCTGCGGCCCAGCTGCTGGCTGACACCTGCTAGCACCAGGCTGTGGGCGGGGAACTGCTGGCTCCCTACAGTGATCAGAGTATCACATAGTGCTGGCCGGAGCCTGGCTGCTAGCTGTACCAGCCGATCAGAGCCATAGGGGCTGGGCAGTCTTATGGGGAGCAGGGACATTGTGCCTTGCTTGGGTACCAATCTCAGAGGCTCTAAGAGAAAGGCCACAGTGTGAGGTCCATGGTTGAAAGGGGAGGGAGGAACATCTCATCTCATTTCAAGCCTGTGGATGTGAGGGGAGAGAGTGTGAGTTGCTGGTCCTAGATCAGAGCCCTCTGTCCTGAGTGAGCAAATAAAGTAACCCAAGAGAGGATTGGAGCTTATCCAGAATCATAGCAGGTGGGCATGGTGGCGAGAGAATGGAAATCAGACCAAATTCAGGACTTAAAGAGCAAGGGCCAGTCAGTTAACAGAAATAGCTAGTAGTGGGTTTTAAGACAGGCATGTGGGAAGTCTTCCAGTTAGCAGTCTCTGACGTAAAAGATATCAGATACTGCCACTTCTGCTTTTCCAAGCCCCTGTGCAGGGACACACCTCTGTGCAAGCCAGGCTTTCTTCAGTACAGACGAGGATCACCACAAAACCCAGTCAACCCCGGCACTAAGGGATGGAGCATGACACAACTTCACGGGAGAGCTTAGAAAGCTAGTGGGTCCTCCCGCAAAAGCCCATTGTGCCTGAAAGGCAGAGAGGGCAGCATGATAGGGATCCTGCCTGCAGGAACACAGATGCTAAGGCATCCGGCAGTCATCACCGTGAAGCTGAAGCTTCTAGAACATGTCCTCAGGGAAGGAACCAGACATTCCCATCCAGAGAATGAGGAGAGCAGGTGCAGAAGCCACAGGAGTAGAGGCTCCTGACCCATTGATAGAGAGAGGTTTTGGAGAATGGACCCCTGCGGAGATGGGAGGACGGGACATGGGGACTGGAGACAAGGAGGCTGTTTCCTCTCAAGATTCGGGTAAGGAGATGGTTTAATTTGTTTTTCATAAGGCAAAAAGTGAAGAATAGAAAGCACCCAACCAGGCAGAAGTTTCTCACACATCAAAACCACCACACTGGCTTTTCAAAAGAGAGCTGGGAACCCAGATACGAAGAGAACCAGAACCTCAGTGTCTTAGCACCCAGCAGGCAGAGCCCTAGGTGCAGGCTCCTTGTGAGCAAGGGCCCTTGGGGTGGGGAGGGCCACACTTGGACACCTCAGGGAGAGGGCTCCAGGTTGGCAGGGAGGGGACAGAAAGAGTTGTGATGGGAAGAAGGCCTCAGCTGGGGAGAGACCATCACTCACCGCTTGTAGCTTCTTCCAGGACACCGCATGCTCTGAACTACTGTTGGGGCTCCTGGGGCCCCCCCTGGAGCTAGCCCCGCCCCTGACCTCACAGGCCTCCATTGGATGTCCCAAGTATCAGTCTTCCACAGTCCCCCCGAGAGGGTGTGGTTTTCTCACCCTGCCTCTGCCTTCTGCCTGCAGGAGAGACCACCCCTCTACCTCCAGAACACACACGTTCTGCCCCTAGCCTCCTGTCTCCTCACTTTGTGTGTGAACTCCCAGAGTCAAAGAAGTCTATCTGTGGCAGCAAGGACCTTGGAATAACCAACCCTGCCTCTGAGTTTCATCTCTACCATTTACTAGTTGAGTCATCTTGGGCAAGTCACTTCTCTGGGCCTCAGTAACCTCATTCATGAAATAGGGATAATATCTGCTTACCTCATTTGGAGGTGGGGGTGAAGATGAAATGACGTGACGAATATGAGCGTGGTTTGTAAGTACACAGTAGCATTCAGTGGTATGGTCGTTTCTTAGAGATGACGGCAGAGCTTACAGCTGCAGAAGTAAAAAGGACTGAAACATTTGGATCCCAAGAATAGACTGGAGGAGCCAGAAGCCAGCTTCCTCCCTCTCCCTGACTTGGTACTGGGAAACCTCATTTGCTGGCTGGGAATGACCTGGGGGCTGGATGTGTGAGTGACTCAGATCCTCCCATCAAGCTCTGAAAGGGGCAACCCCAGGAAGGACCTGTGGTGGTCTTCGAAGAGAAAAACCTCCTTTTCTTGGGCTGATGACAAATGACATTTCTCTGAAATCAGGACTTGGGTTTCTTTCACTTCCTGCCCAAGGGGTCAAGGTCCCCGGAGGTTTCCCCTCTTTTCACACTTTAGAACTCTTTAATCTGGGGAAGGGATGAAGTCTGAGAGGCTCAAGTTTCTTTTTCTGTTTCTTATTATTCTATTATCCCTGATCCTATAGCAGAATTTTCATTTATCCAATAAATATTGATGACATATTTATTTTGAGACGGGGTCTTGCTCTGTTGCCCAGTGGTACGATCACGGCTCACTGCAGCCTTAGCTTCCTGGGCTCATGTGATCCTCCCACCTCAGCCTCCTAAGTAGCTGGGACTACAGGTTCGAGCCTAGCTAATTTTTAATTTTTGGTAGAGACGGGGGGGTCTCACTATGTTACCCAGGCTGGTCTTGAACTCTTGGCTCAAATGATCCTCCGGCCTTGGCCTCCCAAAGTGCTGAGATTATAGGCATGAGCCACTGTGCCCAGCTAATAAAGCATTTATGATATGTGCCTGGTGTATCATATACACACAGTAAATTATTGGGAGATAAACAAGTCAGGTAGTCAGGTACTGGTAAGCTGCTCTGGTGACAAGGCACGGTCTGCTTCCCCATAGGCTTCTCTTTTCTTTTTTTTTTTTGAGACAGAGCTTGGCTCTGTCTCCCAGACTGGAGTGCAGTGGCACAATCTCAGCTCACTGCAACCTCTGCCTCCCAGGTTCAAGCAATTCTCCTGCCTCAGCCTCCCGAGTAGCTGGGATTACAGGGGCCCGCCACCATGCCCAGCTAATTTTTGTATTTTTAGTAGAGACAGGGTTTCGCCATGTTAGCCGGGCTGGTCTCAAATTCCTGATGTCAGGTGATCCACCCACCTCAGCCTCTCAAAGTGCTGGGATTGCGCCCGGCATCCCATAGGCTTCTCTTAAGGGAGAAGGATCTAAGAGTCCTCGTCCCCTCCCAGACCCAAATATTGTGTCTCTAAGCTCCCATTTCTCTCTTTGGCTCCAGGACCCCCAAATGTTCTGACTAGCCTCCCACTCTCTCTCTCCAGACCCACCACACCTTCCCTCCACATGGGTGCTGGCACATGTTAACCCTTCCTAGATCAGACAGGGTGTGTCAATGGGTGAGGCTGGTGGAGGGGCAACAGAGTGGGGAGAGGGGAAGATGAGTCAGAACGAAAGGGAAAATGCAAATGTGAGAGCTGTGTTCATCTGCTACTCTGAACGTTAAGTATTTTCCATTTCTGTGCTTTCTAATTCCTCACACCACCACACCCAGGGACGCATTAGACACCCATATAAAAGACACATAAAGCATCGATCCCTCTGATATGTGTGTATGCAGAGGGAAACACCCTTCCTCCAACACAGAAATACAGAGTCCCTCAAGACAAGGAAGGAGTGCAGAAAACCCTGAAGGACTAGCCCCAGGGACAGAGGAAAGGTACAGGGGTCTGGACAATTACGTGGTCGCCCATCTAAGTATGGCCCCTTCGCTTTCCAGCCCCACATCATGTGCCTGTGACTCAGCTCCCCCGCTAGTTTGCTCATTGATGATCGAGAGAGTTGGAGACTGCTCAAAGGGCAGCATTCTGTGTAAGCCAAATGTAGTTGACAGGGAGCATCGGTGGGCTTTCGGGGAAACTAAAAGGGAGGAGGGGCAAGGGAACTCCCCTTTCAGTGAACAAAAGCCCCCAAGAATGGGGAACCCCATCTAAGGATATCCCCTTAGAGATCGCCTCCTAGAGTTATCTCCAGGGCCCTCTGCACTACAACCCTTATGCTGATGACACCCTGAGCCCTTCTCTAACCTTGACAGTGCAACCCAAGCCATCCTCCACTGAGCACAGATGGCAGAAGCTGAAGCAGACGGCACTTTGACTTGGAAGAGTAGGGACGCTGCTGGTGCTGTTTTGTTTTTGTTTTGAAACAGAGTCTTGTTCTGTCACCCAAGCTGGAGTGCAGTGGCGCCATCTCGGCTCGCTGCATCCTCCGCCTCTGGGTTCAAGCAATTCTTGTGCCTCCGCCTCCCAAGTAGCTGGGGTTACAGGCACGCACCATCACACCCAGCTAATTTTGTATTTTTACTGGAGATGGGGTTTCACCATGTTGGCCAGGCTGGTCTCGAACTCCTAACCTCAGGTGGTCCACTGCTGGGATTACAGGCGTGAGCCACCGTGCCTGGTCTGTTGCTGTTCTTAAAAGGAGTCCCCTTCCCTAGACTCAAAAGCCTTGCCCCTCTTCCTCTTCCTGGCTGACTCGGTAGTAATCATCTGCAGTTGTCTCTCTGGGAAGAGCAAGGAAACTACAGGTTATACGGACGCAAGCCTGTGTCCTGCCAGAGGGTAGAGTAAGTAGAGAGATTAGGTAGGGCATGGTTGGAAAGGGAGTATGTAAGAAAAGGAGATATGATATCTGCCTCTCAGTCCTTTTTAATACTTACATTACTTTTTTTTTTTTTTTTTTTTTTTTTTGAGACAGTTTCACTCTTGTTGCCCAGGCTGGAGTGCAGTGGTGCAATCTCGGCTTACTGCAACCTCCACCTCCCGGGTTCAAGCAATTCTCCTGCCTCAGCCTCCCAAGTAGCTGGGATTACAGGTGCCTACCACCATGCCTGACTAATTTTTTGTATTTTTATTAGAGATGGTGTTTCACCATGTTGGCCAGGCTGGTCTCAAATTCCTGATGTCAGGTGATCCACCCACCTCAGCCTCCCAAAGTTCTGGGATTACAGGCATAAGCCTTCATGCCTGGCCTGATACTCGTATTACCGAATAAAATTTGAAATCTTTTTTTTTTTTTTTTTGAGACAGAGTCTTGCTCTATTGCCCGGGCTGGAGTGCAGTGGCACAATCTCGGCTCACTGCAACCTCCACCTCCTGGGTTCAAGTGGTTCTCCTGCCTCAGCCTTCCGAGTAGCTGGGATCACAGGCGTGCATCACCACACCAGGCTAATTTTTTGTATTTTTAGTAGAGATGGGTTTCACTGTGCTGGCCAGGCTGGTCTCGAACTCCTGATCTCATGAACTGCCTGCCTTGGCATCCCAAAATGCTGGGATTACAGGTGTGAGGCACCACGCCTGGCCTGAAATCTGACATTTCTTATTCTTACTGATAGGCTTGACCAATGGGATACTAAGAGTAAAATGTGCAAGGGACTCGGGGCACACCCTGGCTACAAAGTCAGAGCTTCCCAGAAATCCTTGTGTCATGAACTTCAGGCACAACCCAGCTTGATGTAACAAGGTCAACACAGCAACACAAATACCAATTCTCCTTAAATATTATAATTAAAAGCAAACCATCAGAATAGACCAATGAGAGGGATGATCATTTGTTTTGTGAAAATATTTTCCTTCTATCTCACTTATTTTAAATATCAAGCCCTCTTCCCAAGCCAAGTTGAATAACATTCAATTTAGAAAAATTATGTGAACTTGCCACTCTTCTCATGAACCCATCTCTTTCCACAAATGAAGGTGGTTAAATTCCCCACAGCATTTTATATAGATTAAGAATGATTATCCAAATCTTACACGAAGTTTAAGTATGTTCACTCTTTCACTGGGCGCAGTGGCTCACGCCTATAATCCCAACACTCTGGGAGGCCAAGGCAGGCGGGTCACCTGAAGTTGGGAGTTCAAGACCAGCCTGACCAACGTGGAGAAACCCTGTCTCTACTAAAAATACAAAAAATTAGCTGGGCTTGGCGGCACATGCCTGTAATCCCAGCTACTCGGGAGGCTGAGGCAGGAGAATCGCTTCAACCTGGAAGGCGGAGGTTGCAGTGAGCCGAGATCGCGCCATTGCACTCCAGCCTGAGCAACAAGAACGAAACTCTGCCTCAAAAAAAAAAAAAAAAAAAAAAAAAAGTTCAGTCTTTCTTTCTAATTAAGGACATCCAAGACTTCCAGAAAAGAGACACCACAAGGAGTGAATTAGTTCCCTTTTTCCCTTAAATTTGTGCTCTATATGTCCCAAGAAGCAGATATAGTCATACCCAGGTGAGCTGAATCTAGGTCATAGAGACCCCTTCATAGCACACCCTTTGTAGATTAACTGGGAAAAGAACTAGACTAGAAGTCAGAAAACAGGTTTCACTATATCCATTCACAGTGAATGGCCCTTCTCTTCGGCACTCATATGGAGCTAACTCTTCCAAGACCCTCAGTTTCCTCACAGGGGCTGTTTTAAGACCAGTACAGAATACTAGTGTTGACTTAAATCTGGGCAAAGGGTCCCACTTGGACCTCCTCTGGCTGTATCCCTTCGCATAGGCTGAGTCAAAAGGCATCTAGAAAGTGCCTACTGGGAACTGTGAGCTCCCACCTCACTTCTGGACCGTGCTCTCAGAACTCAGCACCCGGGATTTCCTGGACCAAATGACTCTGAGGCCCCCTACACAGGACTCAACCCCAGCCTGTATTCATGAGAATGGACTCTGACTGATGTACGCACATGCTAGACCCTGATTTTGTGTAAGGGATTTGTAGACTGAGCTCGGATGTGCAGGCTAGAATGTGAGACACCTTGAAGTATGGGCCAACACCAGGCGTGGGAAGAAAAGAGGGAGTCTCTGTCATCTCGCCCGGGCCCCATAAATAATATAGGAGCCCGCTTTATTCCAATGGTTCTAAATCTCTTAGGGAGTCACCATCAGGTTGAGAGTGTCAGCCATGGGACCAACTCTTCTTTTTTTAAGACAGAGTCTCCTTCTGTCGCCCAGGCTGGAGTGCAGTGGCACGATCTTGGCTCAGTGCAACCCCTGCCTCCCAGGTTCAAGCGATTCTCCTGCCTCAGCCTCCCGAGTAGCTGGGATTACAGGCACGCACCACGACGCCCGGCTAATTTTTGTATTTTTAGTGGAGATGAGGTTTTACCATGTTGGCCAGGCTGGTCTCAAACTTCTGACCTCAAGTGATCCGCCTGCCTTGGCCTCCCAGAGTGCAGGGATTACAGGCGTGAGCCACCCAGCCTGGGACCAACTGCTGACATTAGAAAATGGTAGACACGGGCTGGGAGCGGTGGCTCACGCCTGTAATCCCAGCACTTTGAGAGGCCGAGGTGGGCGGATCACAAGGTTAAGAGATCGAGACCATCCTGGCCAACATGGTGAAACGCTGTCTCTACTAAAAATACAAAAATTAGCTGGGCGTGGTGGCACGTGCCTGTAATTCCAGCTACTTGGAAGGCTGAGGCAGGAGAATTGCTTAAACCTGGGAGGTGGAGGTTGCAGTGAGCCAAGATTATTCCACTGCACTCCAGCCTGGTAACAGAGCAAGACTCCATCTCAAAAAAAAAAAAAAAAAAAAACAACAGAGCAAGACTCCATCTCAAAAAAAAAAAAAGAAAAGAAAAGAAAAGAAAAGAAAATAGTAGACACTCATACCACTTGGCATACGGTCACATGACAAGACATTGACAGATTACTCTGAGCCTCATGGCTGGACAGGTTAACTATCCTCTTGCTTATTCTTTGCCCTCACCTCTCATAATATATGCATACCATTAATTGTTCTTTTTTTTTTTTTTTTTTTTTTTTTTTTTGAGACAGTCTTGCTCTGTCACCCAGCCTGGAGTGCAGTGGTGCGATCATGGCTCACTGCAGTCTCGAAATCCTGGGCTCAAGTCATTCCCCCATCTCAGCCTCCTCAGTAGCTGGGATTACAGGCATGTGCCACCATGCTTGGCGGCTGTCTGCTGAGCTGGGTTTAACTGCACACTTCACGTGCCAGCACCCCCGACCGCCACCACACCATAGAGGGAATGGCCAATTGAGCTGCCCCAATATTAACTGGTTTAGGGGTTAGACTTCCTTGAAGTCCACTCATAAACCACTCCTTGCACCCTCACCCCTGGTTAAAGAACTCTGGGTGTACTGAAGGTACTCCGAAAGCATAAATATCACTGAACAGCTGAATGAAACTAGGTATCAATACCCTGTGCCATGAGTATAAAAAGATCATCAATAAAGACAACCTGGGTGGTTTCCTTTTATTTTATGTTATTTACTTATTTATTTTTGAGACAGAGTTTTGCCCTTGTTGCCCAGGCTGGAGTGCAGTGACATGATCTCGGCTCACTGCAACCTCTGCCTTGTGGGTTCAAGTGATTCTCCTGTCTCAGGCTCCCAAGTAGCTGGGATTACAGGCATCCACCATACCTGGCTAATTATTTTGCATTTTTAGTAGAGATGGGGTTTCACGATGTTGGCCAAGCTGGTCTTGAACTCCTGACCTCAGTGAGTTTTGCTTTGGCCTCCCAAAGTGCTAGGATTACAGGCGTGAGCCACCACGCCCTGCCCCAACCTGGGTGATTTCCTAAAGAGTAGAGTATCTCACACACCTCTTCCTGTGCTCCACTATGACATCATCCTCCCCATGCACCGGCCCCACACCTACAGCCTGATATCTTCATCTTCCGGGAATGATCAGAACAGGCATGGGAAAGAGTGGAACAGGGAGACTGAAAAGCTCCAGACATGACCCAATCCCAGTTCTTTATTTTTTAATTAATTTTTTTTTTTTTTTTTTGAGACAGAGTCTCGCTCGTGGCCCAGGCTGGAGTGCAGTGGCGCAATCTCGGCTCACTGCAAGCTCCGCCTCCCGGGTTCACGCCATTCACCTGCCTCAGCTTCCCAAGTACCTGGGACTACAGGCGCCTGCCACCTCGCCCGGCTAGTTTTTTGTAGTTGTTAGTAGAGACAGGGTTTCACCGTGTTAGCCAGGATGGTCTCGATCTCCTGACCTCGTGATCCGCCCGTCTCGGCCTCCCAAAGTGCTGGGATTACAGGCTTGAGCCACCGCGCCCGGCTTTTTTTTTTTTTTTTTGAGACAGAGTGTTGCTCTGTTGCCCTGGCAGAAGTGCAATGGCATGATCTCGGCTCACTGCAACCTCTGCCTCCCGGGTTCAAGTGATTCTCCTGCCTCAGACTCCTGAGTAGCTGGGATTACAGGTGCCTGCCACACGCCCGGCTAATTTTTGTATTTTCAGTAGAGACAGGGTTTCACCATCTTGGTCAGGCTGGTCTCGAGCTCCTGACCTGGTGATCCGCCCACCTCAGCCTCCCAAAGTGCTGGGATTACAGGTGTGAGCCACCGCGCCCGGCCACCCAATCCCAGTTCTGTACAGAGCCACTACAGGGTAATAATAGTTCATCCAGGGCAAACAGCTTGGCTGAGATTCAGAACCCTTCTCCCTAGAATCTCCAGAGGATTACTGGCCTAACCTCTTGGCCACATCATCCAACCTGGACCCCATACTGGGAAATCTCCCAAGAACATCTCAACCTGGAGTCCAGAACATTCACTCCCAGCCCAGGCTGGCTCCAAAGACCCCAGAAGACCTTCAAGTGAACACTAGTTTCATCTCTTGGCCAGTGACTTTCTACGTAACTTTTTTTTTCCTTTTCTTTTTTTTTTCTTGAGACAGGGTCTCATTCTGTCGCCCAGGCTGGAGTGCAATGGCACAGTCTCGGCTCACTGCAACCTTCACTTCCTGGGTTCAAGCTATTCTCCTGCCTCAGCTTTCTGAGTAACTGGAATTACAGACATGTGCCCCCACGCCCAGGTAATTTTTTTTGGAAACCTCGTAGAGACAGAGTTTCTCCATGTTGGCCAGGCTGGTCTCAAACTCCTGACCTCAAATGATCCACCTGCCTCAGCCTCCCAAAGTGCTGGGATTACAGGCATGAGCCACCGTGCCCAGCCCCTACATAACCTTTGGAGATCCACAGGCCTCTCCTTTCAGTCACCAGATTCAGGCTCAGTCCAGAGACCCCTGGTAACCTCTCATTGTCCAGAGGCCATACCTCATGGTCAATGACCCCGTGCAGAGCTAAGGGCCTACAACTTCCCCACAACACCCTTCCCACTCAGGCTGGCCTCGGGGGCCGTGGACCAACCCCGAGGGCAAGCTGGCTTGGCCTCTGCCAAACCTAGGCCTAAAGGTGGCCAGGAGGCTGCATTTCCAGCCTCTCAAAGACAGAGGAAAGCCCTAAGGGCTAAAGCCCTCAACCCGCACTTCCCAATCATCAACGGGGCCAGTCAAGCTCCCACACCCCAGCTTTGCCTGGGCCAGGCCCAAGCCCAAGAAAGTAAAGAAAAACTATGGCACTCACCGGCCCAGACCCTGTTCCTCCTTCCCTTTCAGCCTCACATACACTCAGGATGGCTCAAGGCCGAGTGACCGTTAAAAGTGGGGAGTGGAGCGAGGCCAGGGACGCAAGGCTCCCGCACGTGGTCACCCCCGGATCCTGAGGCGGACGCTGATTGGCTGCAGCGCGGGTCGCACTGTCCCGCTCAGGCCAGCTGAGCACGCTGGGCAGCATGGGAGGCACCTAGGACAGCGCCACTCCCGCGCGTCTGTCTCTGACCTGCAGCTGATTGGCTGTGAAGGGGCAGGGCCTTGAGTCTCATTGGTCCGTAGGCTTCAGGCCTCTTAGGCTGAGATTTCATTGATTTCCAGCCGGGCTCCAGCGTTGATCGGTTGTGGAGTCTGCCCTTTCCCACTCTCTCCATGAAGAGACTGGACCCTGATTCTCCCTCACCTGAACAGCCCTGGAGGCTCCCTCAGCAAGTGCTCCGGAGTACCACTGTCCTTTTTTTTTTTTTTTTTTTTTTTTTTTTTAAATTATTTCATTCTTATTTTATGAATAGGGTCTCCCTCCGTTGCCCGTGCTGGAGTGCAATGGTGCAATCATAGTTCACTACAGCCTGGAACTCCTGGGCTCAAGCAATCCTCCCGCCTGGGCCTCCCAAAATTCTGGGACTACAGCCGTGAGACACCGTGCCTGACCTGCCTTTCTTGCTTCTATTTTGCCTCCCTAAGTAGCTCCCATTTGCAAACCCTGTCACCTTTCTCTCAACCCTTTACCATCTGGGAAGTGTGTAGGGGTGTGTAGGCTGCCGCCACACCTGATTGGCCTGGAGGCCCATAAGAGCAAGCCAAGGCCAGGCACTGTGTCTCATGCCCGTAATCCCAGCGCTTTGAGAGGTCCAGGTGGTAGTAGGATCCCTTGAGCCCAGGAGGTCGAGGCTGCAGTGAGCTATGATCACATCACTGCACTGCAGCCTGGGTGACACAGTGAGACCCTGTCTCTAATAAATAAATAAAGATAAAATAAAAGAGCCAGCCAGGCAGGGCGCGGTGGCTCACGCCTGTAATCCCAGCACTCTGAGAGGCTGAGGCGGGCGGATCATCTGGGGTCAGGAGTTCGAGAACAGCATGACCAACATGGTGAAACCCCGTCTCTACTAAAAATACAAAAATTAGCTGAGCGTGGTGGCGGGCACCTGTAATTCCAGCTACTCGGGAGCCTGAGACAGGAGAATCGCTTGAACCCCGGGATTGCAGGGAACCGAGATCGCGCCACTGCACTCCGCCTGGGAGACAGAGCGAGACTACTTCTCAAAAAAAAAAAAAAAAAAAAAGCCAGCCAGGCTTCGGTGCCTGTGGACAGCTCCCTTTTCTCTCCTCTTGTCCCACTCTACCACGATTGCTGGCACCGCTCACTCTGCCTCGCCTGGACGTGTACAGGGACAAGGAAGACACAAGAGGGGGCAGTACCTTGCCCCGTGATTGGCAGTGTGACACTCGCACTTCCAATTCCCACTGCCACCTCGACTGTATGCTCAGCCAGGAGTAACGGCGAGCGGACATGTCAGCACTGGCGCGCGGACGTGTCAGCACTCCCGCCCCCCACCCCACCGCAGAGGGAACGGCCGATTGCGCTGTCCCAACATTAACTGGCCTGGGGATTAGACTCCCTCCAGCAGGCTTTCCCCCTGGGCAGGGCTTCGGGGCTGACAAGCTGCGAGCTCGCCCCTTGCCAATCTTCCGAAGTGCTTGTCTGTGGGCCTTCTGGCCCGGCCCCCGCGGCGGTTGCACCGCTGATTGGCTGGCTCCGCTCCTTTCTAAGTGGCTTAGCCCGGGATTCGTTCTCAAGCACAGCCAATGAGACGCCAGGGCGCCTCAAGGAGGCGGGCATGGCTCCTCCGCTGCCGCCTCTGACTGGCCCTAAGGCTCGTCTTCGCTTTAAATTGACCAGAGGGCAGCGGGGCGGGAGTTTAGTGCAGCAATTTCAGGCTGCGATCCGAGTTCGGTCCCTTCCCGCTACGCGGAGTGTTGGCGCGTGCTTCGCAGCCGCTCGCTGAGGAGTTGGAGCGGGGAGGAATGGGGGTGGTCCGGAGGCAGGAGAGCACCTCGCGGAAGAGCCTGGGACAACAGCCAGAGCTGTAGGTCTTGACAGAGACAGCCTGAGGCGTCCCTGGCCCCAGTAGGGAGCGAAACTGCTAAAATGGGGGAAAGGGCCGGGCACGGTGGCTCACGCCTGTAATCCCAGCACTTTGGGAGGCCGAGGCGGGCAGATCACCTGAGCTCAGGAGTTCGAGACCAGCCTGACAAATATAGTGAAACCCCGTCTCTACTAAAAATACAAAAATTAGCCAGACATGGTGGGGGACGCCTGTAATCCCAGTTACTCAGGAGGCTGAGACAGGTAAATTGCTTGAACCCGAGAGGCGGAAGTTACAGTGAGCCAAGATGGCGCCACTACGCTCCAGCCTGGGCGAAAGAGCAAGACCCTATCTCAAAAAATAAAAATAAAATAAAAATAAAAAATAAAGTAAAAAGGGGAGGACTGGCGCTGTGGTGGGAGTAACAGCACCTCGCGTTTATCGAGCCTTTTCCATGTGCCACGCTTGTGCATCAACTCGTTGAAACCTAAATAATCCCGTGAGGGAGGCGATTACTATGCCTGGTTAACCTCTGAGGGCCAAAGAGGTGAAGCCGTTTATTTCAGGGCCTGCAGCAGGTACGGGCATTGCAGGGACTCGAACCCTGCTGTGAACCCTGCTGTGGTGAGAGTCCAACCTTCAAGCTACACTATGATTAAGTAGGATTGATCTTGTAGATGGGGATGGGGTCTGGTCACATTGGCCCTGGTTTTGCACAATCTCGGCTCTCTGCAACCTCTGCCTCCCGGGTTCAAGCCATCCTCCTGCCTCAGCCTCCCAAGTAGCTGGGATTACAGTCACCTGCCACCACACTTGGCTAATTTTTGTATTTTTAGTAGAGACGGGGTTTCACCATGTTGGCCAGGCTGGTCTCGAACTCCTGACTTCAAGTGATCTTCCTGCCTCGGCCTCACATAGTGCTGGGATTACAGGCATGAGCTACTGCACCCGACCTAGAGAAAGGTATTTAAAAAATCAGTCTTATAATATCTTTGCTTTTTTATTTTGAGATAGGGTCTTGCTCTCTTGCCCAGGCTAGAGCACAGTGGCAGGATCATGGCTCACTGCAGTCTTGACCTCCTGGGGTCAAAGGATCTTCCCACATTAGACTCCCAATTCACTGGGACTACAGGTGCACAACACCATGCCTCACTAATTAATTAATTAATTATTATTTTGTAGAGAGGTCTCACTATGTTGCCCAGGCTGAACTTAAACTCCTGGGCTCAAGTGATCCTCCTACCTTGGACTCCCAAATTTCTGGGATTACAGGCATGAGCCACTGTGCCAGGCCCCAGACCAGTTTTAAGTGCTTTACCTGCATCATCTGATTGACTCTTCATAGTAAACTCTATCAGATATTTACTGTTATTATGCTCATTTGACAGATACAAAAACTGAAGTTTGGCCGGGCGCATTGGCTCATGCCTGTAATCCCAGCACTTTGGGAAGATGAGGCAGGTGGATTCTTTGAGGCCAGGAGTTCAAGACCAGCCTGGCCAACATGGTGAAACCCCGTCTCTACTAAAAATACAAAAAAATTAGCTGGGCATGTGGCGCATGCCTGTGATCCCAGCTACTGGGGAGGCTGAGGCAGGAGAATCGCTTGAACCTGGGAGGCAGAGGTTGCAGTGAGCCGAGATCATGCCACTGCACTCAAGCCTGGGCGACAGAGCAAGACTCCGTCTCAAACAAAACAAAACAGAACAAAACAAAACAAAAACTGAGGTTTGGAGAAGAAACTGATTTTCCTAAGATCTCACCGGGAGTAATTATCAGAGCTGGAATTTGAACTAGGCCTGTTGCAGTCTGACTCCAGAGCCTAAGCTCCTAAACATTTTTATACACTGCCTCCTATCCTGCCAATTACAGCGACCACAGTGCAGACACACATGGTCCCAGGGAATCCCCAGCCACCATAGGAAGCAGAATGATGCCAACACGCATCAGAATAGACAGCCAAGGCTCACAGAGGTGCAGCTCCTCCTCTCAGCTCACACAGCTGGTCCATAGCTGAGCAAGGAGTAGAATGATACAAGACCTGAATCCAAGCCTGAGTTCATCACACCTCACACTGCATTTTCCCATTTGAAAGATGAAGAAATTAGGCCAGGCACGGTGGCTCATGCCTATAATTCAAGCACTTTGGGAGGCCGAAGCGGGTGGGTCATAAGGTCAGGAGTTCGAGACCAGCCTGACCAACATGGTGAAACCCCGTCTCTACCAAAAATACAAAAATGAGCTGGGCATGGTGGTACGTGCCTGTAATCCCAGCTACTCAGGAGGCTGAGGTAGGGGAATCGCTTGAACCTGGGAGGCAGAGGTTGCAGTGAGCCAAGATGATGCCACTGCACTCCAGCCTGGACAACAGAGCAAGACTCCATCTCAAAAAAGAAAAAAATAAAAAGAAAGACGAAGAAACTGAGTCCCTGAGGAGTAACTAAAGCTGGAATTCAGACCCAGATCTGTCTGACCCACGAGATCACCCCCAAACCACATTACCTTCAGGAAGTACTTATCTGGTAGGTCCTGGGTTGGATTGGTTGAGAAGTCCTCTCACTCAGCAAGCCTCATTTATAGTTAGTTCATCTTGTCCCAACTTTGACCCTAAAGGTGGTTGGTAATATACTTTACAGCCTCAGAACCTTTGGAGTTTCTCACCGATTCTCACTGAGAAGCCCTAGTGATAATTGCTAACAATTTTTTATTATTTACATTTTTCCCTTTTTTTTTTTTTTTTTTTTTTTTTTGAGACAGAGTCTTACTCTGTTGCCCAGGCTAGAGTGCAATGGCACGATCTCAGTTCACTGCAACTCCTGCCTCCCAGGTTCAAGCGATTCTCCTGTCTCAGTCTCCCGAGTAGCTGGGACTACAGGCGTGTGCCACCACACCTGGTTATTTTCTTTCTATTTTAATAAACTGGTCTACAGTATGGGTTTCCTGTGTTTTGTTTTGTTTTTTTTCTGGAGATAGGGTCTTGCTGTGTTGCCCAGGCTGGAGTGCAGTGGCTATTCACAGGTGCAATCATAGCACACTGTGGCCTCAAACTCCTAGCCTCAGTGATCCTCCTGCCACTTCCTGGGTTCACGCCATTCTCCTACCTCAGCCTCCAGAGTAGCTGGAACTACAGGCCTCCGCCACCATACCTGGCTAATTTTGTTTTTGTATTTTTAGTAGACACAGGGTTTCAACGTGTTAGGATAGTCTCGATCTCCTGACCTCATGATTCGCCTGCCTCGGCCTCCCAAAGTGCTGGGATTACAGGTGTGAGCCACCACGCCCGGCCTTCTTTTCTTTTCTTTTGAGACTGCAGGCTGGAGTGCAGTGGCGCGATCTTGGCTCACTGCAACCTCTGCCTCCTGGGTTCGAGCAATTCTCCGCCTCAGCCTCCCGAGTAGCTGGAATTACAGGTGCCCGCCACCACACCTGGCTTTTTTTTTTTTTTTTTTTTTTTTTGTATTTTTAGTAGAGACGGGGTTTCACCATGTTGGCCAGGATAGTCTTGATCTCTTGACCTCGTGATCCACCTGCCTCGGCCTCCCAAAGTGTTGGGATTACAGGCGTGAGCCAGGGCGCCCGGCCGAACAGTAGTATTTCTTCTGTTCCCAAATGCCCTGCAACCAAGTTGTTTCCTTGCAATCAGTATCATCTGCCCTGGCATAGACCCTGAAAATTAAGGGGCCTTGGGAAAGCCTGGGGGCAGTGTGTTCCCAGAAGCAGTAGCAAGCGCAAAAGCCCCAAAGCAGGAGTGAGCTTAGTGTATCTGAGGTACAGCAGGAAGTCCAACTGGAGCCAG